CTGATGGTGAAGTCATTAAACTGGTCCTCACTCTGATGGTGAAGTCATTAAACTGGTCCTCACTCTGATGGTGAAGTCATTAAACTGGTCCTCACTCTGATGGTGAAGTCATTAAAACTGGTCCTCACTCTGACGGTGAAGTCATTAAACTGGTCCTCACTCTGATGGTGAAGTCATTAAACTGGTCCTCACTCTGATGGTGAAGTCATTAAACTGGTCCTCACTCTGATGGTGAAGTCATTAAACTGGTCCTCACTCTGATGGTGAAGTCATTAAACTGGTCCTCACTCTGATGGTGAAGTCATTAAACTGGTCCTCACTCTGATGGTGAAGTCATTAAACTGGTCCTCACTCTGATGGTGAAGTCATTAAACTGGTCCTCACTCTGATGGTGAAGTCATTAAACTGGTCCTCACTCTGATGGTGAAGTCATTAAACTGGTCCTCACTCTGATGGTGAAGTCATTAAACTGGTCCTCACTCTGATGGTGAAGTCATTAAACTGGTCCTCACTCTGATGGTGAAGTCATTAAACTGGTCCTCACTCTGATGGTGAAGTCATTAAACTGGTCCTCACTCTGACGGTGAAGTCATTAAACTGGTCCTCACTCTGATGGTGAAGTCATTAAACTGGTCCTCACTCTGATGGTGAAGTCATTAAACTGGTCCTCACTCTGATGGTGAAGTCATTAAACTGGTCCTCACTCTGATGGTGAAGTCATTAAACTGGTCCTCACTCTGATGGTGAAGTCATTAAACTGGTCCTCACTCTGACGGTGAAGTCATTAAACTGGTCCTCACTCTGATGGTGAAGTCATTAAACTGGTCCTCACTCTGATGGTGAAGTCATTAAACTGGTCCTCACTCTGATGGTGAAGTCATTAAACTGGTCCTCACTCTGATGGTGAAGTCATTAAACTGGTCCTCACTCTGATGGTGAAGTCATTAAACTGGTCCTCACTCTGATGGTGAAGTCATTAAACTGGTCCTCACTCTGATGGTGAAGTCATTAAACTGGTCCTCACTCTGATGGTGAAGTCATTAAACTGGTCCTCACTCTGATGGTGAAGTCATTAAACTGGTCCTCACTCTGATGGTGAAGTCATTAAACTGGTCCTCACTCTGATGGTGAAGTCATTAAACTGGTCCTCACTCTGATGGTGAAGTCATTAAACTGGTCCTCACTCTGACGGTGAAGTCATTAAACTGGTCCTCACTCTGATGGTGAAGTCATTAAACTGGTCCTCACTCTGATGGTGAAGTCATTAAACTGGTCCTCACTCTGATGGTGAAGTCATTAAACTGGTCCTCACTCTGATGGTGAAGTCATTAAACTGGTCCTCACTCTGATGGTGAAGTCATTAAACTGGTCCTCACTCTGATGGTGAAGTCATTAAACTGGTCCTCACTCTGATGGTGAAGTCATTAAACTGGTCCTCACTCTGATGGTGAAGTCATTAAACTGGTCCTCACTCTGATGGTGAAGTCATTAAACTGGTCCTCACTCTGATGGTGAAGTCATTAAACTGGTCCTCACTCTGATGGTGAAGTCATTAAACTGGTCCTCACTCTGATGGTGAAGTCATTAAACTGGTCCTCACTCTGATGGTGAAGTCATTAAACTGGTCCTCACTCTGACTGGTGAAGTCATTAAACTGGTCCTCACTCTGATGGTGAAGTCATTAAACTGGTCCTCACTCTGACGGTGAAGTCATTAAACTGGTCCTCACTCTGACGGTGAAGTCATTAAACTGGTCCTCACTCTGATGGTGAAGTCATTAAACTGGTCCTCACTCTGACGGTGAAGTCATTAAACTGGTCCTCACTCTGATGGTGAAGTCATTAAACTGGTCCTCACTCTGATGGTGAAGTCATTAAACTGGTCCTCACTCTGATGGTGAAGTCATTAAACTGGTCCTCACTCTGATGGTGAAGTCATTAAACTGGTCCTCACTCTGATGGTAAAGTCATTAAACTGGTCCTCACTCTGATGGTGAAGTCATTAAACTGGTCCTCACTCTGATGGTGAAGTCATTAAACTGGTCCTCACTCTGATGGTGAAGTCATTAAACTGGTCCTCACTCTGATGGTGAAGTCATTAAACTGGTCCTCACTCTGATGGTGAAGTCATTAAACTGGTCCTCACTCTGATGGTGAAGTCATTAAACTGGTCCTCACTCTGACGGTGAAGTCATTAAACTGGTCCTCACTCTGATGGTGAAGTCATTAAACTGGTCCTCACTCTGATGGTGAAGTCATTAAACTGGTCCTCACTCTGACGGTGAAGTCATTAAACTGGTCCTCACTCTGATGGTGAAGTCATTAAACTGGTCCTCACTCTGATGGTGAAGTCATTAAACTGGTCCTCACTCTGATGGTGAAGTCATTAAACTGGTCCTCACTCTGACGGTGAAGTCATTAAACTGGTCCTCACTCTGATGGTGAAGTCATTAAACTGGTCCTCACTCTGATGGTGAAGTCATTAAACTGGTCCTCACTCTGATGGTGAAGTCATTAAACTGGTCCTCACTCTGATGGTGTAAACTGGTCCTCACTCTGATGGTGAAGTCATTAAACTGGTCCTCACTCTGATGGTGTAAACTGGTCCTCACTCTGATGGTGAAGTCATTAAACTGGTCCTCACTCTGATGGTGAAGTCATTAAACTGGTCCTCACTCTGATGGTGAAGTCATTAAACTGGTCCTCACTCTGATGGTGAAGTCATTAAACTGGTCCTCACTCTGATGCACATGCAGACATCATGGAATTCCTCTCTGCAAAAAGCAGCTCACACTGAGCCTGGTTCTGCTGCAGGTCTCTTCCTGTTACACGAGAGTTTTCCTCTCCACTGTCGCCTCAGCCAGGTGGAAGTCAACTGCTGAGTTGGAATTCAAGGTCTTCGTCCTCCAAAGGCCAGAATCGTCGGACCATTACGTCATAGCATGGATTGGAGGCCTGTTTGAAATGGAAGACACCTCGATATGCAGCTGATAAATAAATCCTTCTTTTTACCCGTTTTAACCGACGGGTCTGTGTCCCACGTAGCCTTGGGTATCCCATGATTCATTGCAAGTCCAAGCAAGCAGGCTGCTCCGAACAGCAGTGAATACTGGAAGTCCGGTGGGGGCGGGGTGGGGGGGGTTGTTATGGTGGAAGGTTCGTAAGCAGGTTTGGTTGTGGCCGGTTTGTGGGAATCATCATGCTAACCAGTTAGCAAATGTTCCACTGGGACCACTTTTAGACTTTAGACAGATTTTATTTGTCTAAATTTGAAATTTTGTTTGGAAACAGCTCATTTTAAAAAGTGCAGCCTTGAAAAAAGTAAATATGGCTGTAAATTTACAGTTCTAACAATTTTTTTTAATATGTATATATATATATATATATATATATATATATATAAATAATGATAAAATATCATAAATATAATAATAAAATGCAATAAACCATTCTACATTCTGGCGGTGGGGAAGAAGCTGCTGCAGAACCTGCTGGTCCTGCATTGAATGCTGGGAAGCCTCTTCCCAGAGGGCAGCAGGGAGAACAGTCCATGGTGGGGGGGTGAGGGGTCATTGATGATGTCACGGGCTCGGGAGATGAAATGTCTTTAATGGAGGGAAAAGGAGCCCCCATGATCTGCGCCGCCATGGCAACCAAGTAGCACTATGGAGATTGTGCCTTAGAAACCAGAATGATTTGACATTTAAATATGAATTTCCCTACAACTTTAATATAATCCAAGTATGTGAAAATAGTTGTTTTAATGGTTATTGATACAGATATGTGGTGGGTAATGTTTGGTTTTATTAAATGGTTTTTATCTGTTCCTGTGTAAATGGGGACGATAAATCGGATATTTACGATGACCGTACTGCTGCTGAAAATGTTATTAGCACCCAGAACAATAATGCCAAGTCCTGTATCCGTTCTCTGCCTTCTTGCTGTGTCACTGTCATGGTTGCTAGGCAACAGAACGTACAGGTGGTGAAAGCCGGAGAAGGCTGGACCTGTTTGGATCCATAGACCAAACTCTACAGCCTCCTTATTTTCATGGACGGTCCAGGTAGAACTCAGCCCATCATCTGGTTTTCCTTTGATAGAAACCTTGAAGCAATCCCTCTGAATCCTGTCTGTAAAACCACTAAAGATGATGATTGTTCTGAATTAGCACTATAGAATGCATTAATTTAGAGAGACCAGTTAAACCACTATGGATGTTTCTGGATCTAAGTGAGAAATAAAAAATAGAGGCAATAATCGGATCAACATCTCCATTCTGCCTAAAGACCAAACAGATGGAAACGAGTCTGAATAAGAATAAATTGAAAATAAAATAAAGGACAATGTTTCAGTAAGAACCAGTAAAATTTCAGGGGAAAAAATAAAACTTGAACTGGATCCAAATCAAACCAAGGAGGAGGTTCTGTGTTACTATAGGAGCTCTGAAGGTTCCTCAGGACGTCCATCTGTCCATCAGTCCCACAGTGAGTCCTGCTCAGTCCAAACTAATTTAATGAAATCATCTCCATGTTTGACCCAGTAACCTAGAAAGGTCCAAAGATCAGAGCGAATCCACCCTGAGCAGGTTCCTATCTCCAAATATCTCCAAAGTTTCTCCTTTTATCTGAAGCTCTGAAGGAAACATGGAGGGAAACTGGTTCTGGTCCTTATGGACCCAGCAGCTGGATCCTCTGAGCCGCTCACTCAGAGAGCAGAAGTTAGGCTGCATGAGCCAGGATGGAGAAAAAAACTGCTCCTCACACTCTGCACGTAGCTCACGAACGCTGCGTAGCGGCGCGTGGGGGAAGGGCGCGCGCACATTAACAAAGGCACGCGCACACTCGAGGAGCGACGGAAGAGGAGGTCTGCAGAGCGTCCATGAAACTTTCCTGCTCTGCTCTTTTCTCTCCCATCATTCCTGCTTTATTCCATCATTCCTGCTCTCTTTCCTCATTCCTGCTGCTCCCTGCAGGTTTTCCTAAATTCTTCCTTCCAGGAACATTTCTGGGTTTTTGAAGCTCTGCAGTTTATTTATTTCTGCTTCTGACTCTTGAGTCCTGAACTTAGAGCTCCAAAGGCTCCATGGAAGCTCAGCTCCAATCAGCGTCCGGCTGCGTGTCACGTGCTTCTCTTGTTTACTACACGGTAGGAAAAATCACCGTGGACTGGCGGGAAAACCAGAACCGGATCAGAACCCGGAATCAGGAGCAGTGATCGTCCAGAATTCTGTTCTGCAGTTTGAAAAACAAACTTTATTGTCATAAATGAGAAATAAATGATGATCCATGCTGTTACCATGGTAACAGAAGTTCATACCTTCAGATCCTCTGACTGTCTGCAGCTGTTTCCACTCTTCCTCCCATAGCAGGCTGGCTTTGTTCCAGTCCAGTTTGATCCGGTCCGGGTTCTGGTGGTTACCATTATCCCCCCCCAACATACACACACACTCACACACATAGAGTCAGTGTGTGTCTCAGTGAGCAGCAGAGGAGTCCTGAAGCTGCAGCAGCTCCTGTTTGTTCTCCAGGTTCTGCAGGTAGGTTCTCTGCTTCTTCTGCTCCAAATCAAACAGACTCAGTTTCTCTTTGCTTCTTTTCCTGCTGTTTTTATTTATTTGGCTTGTGCAGAAAAAAACAAACTTCTGCCTGCAGAGGAAGAGTTAACAAAGCTACAGTTGGTGCTGTTGTTTTTTCCCCCCCTTTAATGTCAGGCTCTTATTTTGGAGAGCTGCAAGGCTGTGAATGGCTGGCAGCTGCAGGTGGAGGTGTGTGTTCTGATGCTTATTTGGTTCTGTCCTGTTCTGTTCGGATTGATGGATGTTCCGAGGAGCTTCTGGTTGCAGGAGAATTCAGTCAGGTTGTGTCGTCAGTTGATCTTCAACGCCTGGATTAGGAACGTTTACTGATGGTTGGTTGGTTTGAGCTGGAACCAGCAGAAGGAAACAGAAGTTTCTTTTTCTTCACGCTCCAGGAAAGCAGCCTGAATGTAGAGTACAGAGCCTGAATCTGGAAGCCTGAGTGAGCGGAGAACCTGGAGGAGCTTCTCCTCAGAGAGGAGGTCAGGTTAACTAGCTTTGGCTTCTTCCTGGCTTCTCCCAACAGACGACATTCCGAAGCAGGAGATCCTCATCCCAAACACCTCATCAGCAGAAGCCTGGTAAGGAGACCATCTGTAGGTTCAGGAGTGTTGGACCACTGATGGTGAATGAGCAGCAGCTTAAAGGCCAGCAGTGATCAAATGTGAACAGCTTGGGAGAAAAACATGGTGCAAAAATAACATGGATGATGTGAAAGATCCCAAACTGCTCCTGTTTCCTCTTCCAGTCAGTTCCTGCATGCAGTGATTTTCATTTCCAGGCCTGAAGGAAAGGCTGATGAGAGGATGTCAGAGAGAAAGATGGCGAGCTGAAGGTGTTTGCATGAGGAGCAATAAGACAGCCGACAGCCGACATTGAGTCAGATTAGTCACTGAAACCATAAAACAGGATAAAACTGGAAGGAAAATGGATGTTGGGTCGGTTTTTTGGGGGAGTTTGGGCACCAATCCAGGGTCTTTGTCAGTTCTGTGGCTCCAGCAGAGCCATCAGTAGTTGGAGCGCTGATGTAGCAGCATGGAGGTCCATCCTCCTGAGCACATTAGAAGCCAATCAATTAGCCTCTCCTTTGCCTTCCGGTTCAAACCGGTTTTGTAGTTGCCATCAACCTCATGACTGAGAATTTACGCAGACATTAGTCATAGAGAGGCTCTATTATAGAAGGAGGTTAGCAGAAATGGTGCCTCAGTGCAGGTGGAGATCCAACAAACCGGCCTCCTATACTGGATCTAAAAGCTCCACCATGAATCCGGCCCTGGTAGGAAGGTGGAGCTCCGTAGAGAAGAATGCTAAACATAACCAGCATTAATCCCCACAGAAAGTTCTGGATTGATGTTTGGACTCCAGGTTTCACGGGGTCTTTGTTGATCACTATTGGCTTTATTCCAATAGTGATCAGTTATCAGTCTCTGTGTGGATGGAGAGAAATGGTCTCCTCCAACCTTTGTTGAGGCTTATTTCATGGTTTTCATCATGGCAGTGGGTGGAGATCTAAGAGCTCGCTTTGGGAGTCCAAAAAGGAAAAAGCCGAGCAAGTAAAAAAAAAAAAGGTTCTAGAAAGTTCTGGAGGAACGATCCCTAGAAACACCAGAGATTTAACCCAGAAACATTTCAGCAGTGAACCGGAGTCAAGGTCTTTATCATGTAGCAGTTTTTTTACCTGAAGATTAAACATGAACTTCCTCTTTGAGGGAGAAAATATCTTTATTCATATAATAAAAGTGGTGATAGAATGATTCTATAGGGTATCTGGTCCTTCAGGTCTCTAATAGGGTGATAGAATGATTCTATAGGGTATCTGGTCCTTCAGGTCTCTAATAGGGTGATAGAATGATTCTATAGGGTATCTGGTCCTTCAGGTCTCTAATAGGGTGATAGAATGATTCTATAGGGTATCTGGTCCTTCAGGTCTCTAATAGGGTGATAGAATGATTCTATAGGGTATCTGGTCCTTCAGGTCTCTAATAGGGTGATAGAATGATTCTATAGGGTATCTGGTCCTTCAGGTCTCTAACAGGGTGATAGAATGATTCTATAGGGTATCTGGTCCTTCAGGTCTCTAATAGGGTGATAGAATGATTCTATAGGGTATCTGGTCCTTCAGGTCTCTAATAGGGTGATAGAATGATTCTATAGGGTATCTGGTCCTTCAGGTCTCTAATAGGGTGATAGAATGATTCTATAGGGTATCTGGTCCTTCAGGTCTCTAATAGGGTGATAGAATGATTCTATAGGGTATCTGGTCCTTCAGGTCTCTAATAGGGTGATAGAATGATTCTATAGGGTATCTGGTCCTTCAGGTCTCTAATAGGGTGATAGAATGATTCTATAGGGTATCTGGTCCTCCAGGTCTCTAATAGGGTGATAGAATGATTCTATAGGGTATCTGGTCCTTCAGGTCTCTAATAGGGTGATAGAATGATTCTATAGGGTATCTGGTCCTTCAGGTCTCTAATAGGGTGATAGAATGATTCTATAGGGTATCTGGTCCTTCAGGTCTCTAATAGGGTGATAGAATGATTCTATAGGGTATCTGGTCCTTCAGGTCTCTAATAGGGTAATAGAATGATTCTATAGGGTATCTTGTCCTTCAGGTCTCTAATAGGGTGATAGAATGATTCTATAGGGTATCTGGTCCTTCAGGTCTCTAATAGGGTGATAGAATGATTCTATAGGGTATCTGGTCCTTCAGGTCTCTAATAGGGTGATAGAATGATTCTATAGGGTATCTGGTCCTCCGGGTCTCTAATAGGGTGATAGAATGATTCTATAGGGTATCTGGTCCTCCAGGTCTCTAATAGGGTGATAGAATGATTATATAGGGTATCTGGTCCTTTTGGTCTCTAATAGGGTGATAGAATGATTCTATAGGGTATCTGGTCCTTCAGGTCTCTAATAGGGTGATAGAATGATTCTATAGGGTATCTGGTCCTTCAGGTCTCTAATAGGGTGATAGAATGATTCTATAGGGTATCTGGTCCTTCAGGTCTCTAATAGGGTGATAGAATGATTCTATAGGGTATCTGGTCCTTCAGGTCTCTAATAGGGTGATAGAATGATTCTATAGGGTATCTGGTCCTTCAGGTCTCTAATAGGGTGATAGAATGATTCTATAGGGTATCTGGTCCTTCAGGTCTCTAATAGGGTGATAGAATGATTCTATAGGGTATCTGGTCCTTCAGGTCTCTAATAGGGTGATAGAATGATTCTATAGGGTATCTGGTCCTTCAGGTCTCTAATAGGGTGATAGAATGATTCTATAGGGTATCTGGTCCTTCAGGTCTCTAATAGGGTGATAGAATGATTCTATAGGGTATCTGGTCCTTCAGGTCTCTTAATAGGGTGATAGAATGATTCTATAGGGTATCTGGTCCTTCAGGTCTCTAATAGGGTGATAGAAAGATTCTATAGGGTATCTGGTCCTCCAGGTCTCTAATAGGGTGATAGAATGATTCTATAGGGTATCTGGTCCTTTTGGTCTCTAATAGGGTGATAGAATGATTCTATAGGGTATCTGGTCCTTTTGGTCTCTAATAGGGTGATAGAATGATTCTATAGGGTATCTGGTCCTTCAGGTCTCTAATAGGGTGATAGAATGATTCTATAGGGTATCTGGTCCTTCAGGTCTCTAATAGGGTGATAGAATGATTCTATAGGGTATCTGGTCCTTCAGGTCTCTAATAGGGTGATAGAATGATTCTATAGGGTATCTGGTCCTTCAGGTCTCTAATAGGGTGATAGAATGATTCTATAGGGTATCTGGTCCTTCAGGTCTCTAATAGGGTGATAGAATGATTCTATAGGGTATCTGGTCCTTCAGGTCTCTAATAGGGTGATAGAATGATTCTATAGGGTATCTGGTCCTTCAGGTCTCTAATAGGGTGATAGAATGATTCTATAGGGTATCTGGTCCTTCAGGTCTCTAATAGGGCGTGTAACATTGGTTGGGCTGAAAATGGCATATTAGCTGTTCTATGAGCCCTAATGCAGCCTGGTTAAAAGCCCTAGAATGAAACCACAGGTTTTCTTCCTTTTATGGTTTAATCATGAATATTTAGATGAGCTGTGCTCTGATTGGTTGGTTTACAACGAGCCAAGCTGCTGAGCAAAGACGCATCATAGCAACAAGCACTCACTCACTGAAACATCAGATTGTTGACATGGTAGGGGGACCAGACGGCCTCTTTTTCCAGGACATGTCCTACTTTTCACACCTAAAAAATGTCCCGATTTCAAAATCATCCGGGATTTTGGTCGCCTACAGCGCAGCAGAACCGAGCCGTCGGCTCCGGGGCCGGTCTGGGAACCCTGGCGGACGGGGGCAGGGAGCCAGCAAGGGACGGAGCGACAGAACCCGACCCAGTGATGGTAGCCTGGACACCGGCGGCCCCTTGCTTCCCCCCGCCTGCCTTACCGGCCCCCGGCCCCCCTCCTCCGGGTGGCTCATGGCTCTCTGCTGAGCTCCGGTCCAGTCAGCGGCCCAGCAGCCCCAGGCTCCACACCTTTCAGCAGTGGCGCCTACAGAAATGTTTCATGTGGGGGCAGATGGGGCCACTAAAAATTTTGAAACTAAAAGCCATAACTTCAGGGTTTGAATCTACTATGGTGTTAAACCTGCCTGTAGAAAGCATGAACACTTCAGTAGAACCTGGCTGGCTGTACAGAATGGGATGAAACACTAAACTGATGCTGCTACAATTTACACTGGCCAGTGGGGGGGGGGCAGTGCATTGCACATAGTGGCCCCCTGGTGGCGCCACTGCCTTTCAGGTCAGGCAGAAACATAGGTTATATCTATTAAGCTTTTAAAAGTCAAAGCACAGAAGATCGGACTTAAACCGCTTTATTTCAGGTTACAGAGCCTGAATCATAAACCAGCCAATCAGAGAAGAGCTGAGTGATTAATTAAACGACCTCGCATTTGGTTGCTGCATGACTTAAAACGAACAAAGACCTCTAGAGAAGCATCTCTCTCTGACCAGGATAACGGTTTGAAAAATGTTTCGGTGGTAAAATCACGGGTCCAACTGTGGGTGAATTTAATCGCTGTCGTTTGATTCAGACGGCGAGGGGAAAACGAAGACGTTTGGAGCCGATCATCGCAGGAGAACATGTAGAAGAAACACCTGGGAGAGATCGACTGGATTTGACCTGCAGATATCAGGCAGTTTTTATACACTGTAAAAACTGATCTAAAGGTAAAACATTTTTAAATGTCTACATTTGTCCCTAATTTAAGCAGTTTAATAACATGAACTGCCAATTAAATGAGAATCATTTTTATTAAAATAGAATAGATATAATCCATTTGGAATAAAATAACAAAGTTGTTTTTTTCTTTTTTTAAATTTTCTGTTGGAAAGTCTTTTTTTTGTCAGTTTAAAGCAACAGAAAGCTAAACTCTGCTGTCCTTAACATGAATGCATCCTTATATGGTCGAAGCTTCCTGTCCTGAGGGCTCCAGATGCTCTCTTTGTGTCAGTAGGGTTTGGAAAACTGTAGAAAGGTTTATATTTTTTCAGGCCTGTAATATCTTTAGGTGTTTTGGTCTAAAACTTAGTCCCAGGTCTTTAAACGTGATGTGAGTTCATGTGTCGCTTTATTTCTCAGAGTGGGAACAACCTGAAAGGCCGTCAGAGTTTAATGAAGAGAGTACAGCTGCTGCCGCGTCTCCCCTGCCCACATGATGCCCAACACCCGTCTGGGAAAACGCTCGCCTTTAGGAGCGCTGGTGGGCCCGCCCTGCCCGGAGGCGAACAGGACCAGCATCGCTATGGCAACAGTGGCAGGACAACAAGGCATTGGCAGAGTCAGAGGTCACAACGATCTGAAGGTGAGAGAAGGAACCAGCAACCTTTTCTGTGACCAAAGGTTCGCGGTTCTGCAGAAGGTTCCTGCCTGTGCTTCTAGGAACCTTTAGAGACCCAGTAAGGTTCTCTATCTGAGGGTGCGGCGACCAGGGAGCAGTTGGCTGCCAGGGTGCGGCGCCCTGGGAGCAGTTGGCTGCCAGGGTGCGGCGCCCTGGGAGCAGTTGGCTGCCAGGGTGCGGCGCCCTGGGAGCAGTTGGCTGCCAGGGTGCGGCGCCCTGGGAGCAGTTGGCTGCCAGGGTGCGGCGCCCTGGGAGCAGTTGGCTGCCAGGGTGCGGCGCCCTGGGGAGCAGTTGGCTGCCAGGGTGCGGCGCCCTGGGGAGCAGTTGGCTGCCAGGGTGCGGCGCCCTGGGGAGCAGTTGGCTGCCAGGGTGCGGCGCCCTATGGAGCAGTTGGCTGCCAGGGTGCGGCGCCCTGGGGAGCAGTTGGCTGCCAGGGTGCGGCGCCCTATGGAGCAGTTGGCTGCCAGGGTGCGGCGCCCTATGGAGCAGTTGGCTGCCAGGGTGCGGCGCCCTGGGAGCAGTTGGCTGCCAGGGTGCGGCGCCCTGGGGAGCAGTTGGCTGCCAGGGTGCGGCGCCCTGGGAGCAGTTGGCTGCCAGGGTGCGGCGCCCGGGGAGCAGTTGGCTGCCAGGGTGCGGCGCCCTGGGGAGCAGTTGGCTGCCAGGGTGCGGCGCCCTGGGAGCAGTTGGCTGCCAGGGTGCGGCGCCCTATGGAGCAGTTGGCTGCCAGGGTGCGGCGCCCTGGGAGCAGTTGGCTGCCAGGGTGCGGCGCCCTGGGAGCAGTTGGCTGCCAGGGTGCGGCGCCCTGGGGAGCAGTTGGCTGCCAGGGTGCGGCGCCCTGGGAGCAGTTGGCTGCCAGGGTGCGGCGCCCGGGGAGCAGTTGGCTGCCAGGGTGCGGCGCCCTGGGGAGCAGTTGGCTGCCAGGGTGCGGCGCCCTGGGAGCAGTTGGCTGCCAGGGTGCGGCGCCCTGGGAGCCAACTGCTCCATAGGGCGCCGCACCCTGGCAGCAGTTGGCTGCCAGGGTGCGGCGCCCGGGGAGCAGTTGGCTGCCAGGGTGCGGCGCCCTGGGGAGCAGTTGGCTGCCAGGGTGCGGCGCCCTGGGAGCAGTTGGCTGCCAGGGTGCGGCGCCCTATGGAGCAGTTGGCTGCCAGGGTGCGGCGCCCTGGGAGCAGTTGGCTGCCAGGGTGCGGCGCCCTGGGGAGCAGTTGGCTGCCAGGGTGCGGCGCCCGGGGAGCAGTTGGCTGCCAGGGTGCGGCGCCCTGGGGAGCAGTTGGCTGCCAGGGTGCGGCGCCCTATGGAGCAGTTGGCTGCCAGGGTGCGGCGCCCTATGGAGCAGTTGGCTGCCAGGGTGCGGCGCCCTGGGAGCAGTTGGCTGCCAGGGTGCGGCGCCCTATGGAGCAGTTGGCTGCCAGGGTGCGGCGCCCTATGGAGCAGTTGGCTGCCAGGGTGCGGCGCCCGGGGAGCAGTTGGCTGCCAGGGTGCGGCGCCCTATGGAGCAGTTGGCTGCCAGGGTGCGGCGCCCGGGGAGCAGTTGGCTGCCAGGGTGCGGTGCCCGGGGAGCAGTTGGCTGCCAGGGTGCGGTGCCCGGGGAGCAGTTGGCTGCCAGGGTGCGGCGCCCGGGGAGCAGTTGGTTGCCAGGGTGCGGCGCCCGGGGAGCAGTTGGCTGCCAGGGTGCGGTGCCCGGGGAGCAGTTGGCTGCCACGGTGCGGCGCCCTGGGAGCAGTTGGCTGCCAGGGTGCGGCGCCCTATGGAGCAGTTGGCTGCCAGGGTGCGGCGCCCTGGGGAGCAGTTGGCTGCCAGGGTGCGGCGCCCTATGGAGCAGTTGGCTGCCAGGGTGCGGCGCCCTGGGAGCAGTTGGCTGCCAGGGTGCGGCGCCCTGGGAGCAGTTGGCTGCCAGGGTGCGGCGCCCTATGGAGCAGTTGGCTGCCAGGGTGCGGCGCCCGGGGAGCAGTTGGCTGCCAGGGTGCGGCGCCCTGGGGAGCAGTTGGCTGCCAGGGTGCGGCGCCCTGGGAGCAGTTGGCTGCCAGGGTGCGGCGCCCTATGGAGCAGTTGGCTGCCCGGGTGCGGCGCCCTGGGAGCAGTTGGCTGCCAGGGTGCGGCGCCCTATGGAGCAGTTGGCTGCCAGGGTGCGGCGCCCTGGGGAGCAGTTGGCTGCCAGGGTGCGGCGCCCTGGGAGCAGTTGGCTGCCAGGGTGCGGCGCCCGGGGAGCAGTTGGCTGCCAGGGTGCGGCGCCCTGGGGAGCAGTTGGCTGCCAGGGTGCGGCGCCCTGGGAGCAGTTGGCTGCCAGGGTGCGGCGCCCTATGGAGCAGTTGGCTGCCAGGGTGCGGCGCCCTGGGAGCAGTTGGCTGCCAGGGTGCGGCGCCCTATGGAGCAGTTGGCTGCCAGGGTGCGGCGCCCTGGGGAGCAGTTGGCTGCCAGGGTGCGGCGCCCTGGGAGCAGTTGGCTGCCAGGGTGCGGCGCCCGGGGAGCAGTTGGCTGCCAGGGTGCGGCGCCCTGGGGAGCAGTTGGCTGCCAGGGTGCGGCGCCCTGGGAGCAGTTGGCTGCCAGGGTGCGGCGCCCTATGGAGCAGTTGGCTGCCAGGGTGCGGCGCCCTGGGAGCAGTTGGCTGCCAGGGTGCGGCGCCCTATGGAGCAGTTGGCTGCCAGGGTGCGGCGCCCTGGGAGCAGTTGGCTGCCAGGGTGCGGCGCCCTGGGGAGCAGTTGGCTGCCAGGGTGCGGCGCCCTGGGGAGCAGTTGGCTGCCAGGGTGCGGCGCCCTATGGAGCAGTTGGCTGCCAGGGTGCGGCGCCCTGGGGAGCAGTTGGCTGCCAGGGTGCGGCGCCCTATGGAGCAGTTGGCTGCCAGGGTGCGGCGCCCTGGGGAGCAGTTGGCTGCCAGGGTGCGGCGCCCTGGGAGCAGTTGGCTGCCAGGGTGCGGCGCCCGGGGAGCAGTTGGCTGCCAGGGTGCGGCGCCCTGGGGAGCAGTTGGCTGCCAGGGTGCGGCGCCCTATGGAGCAGTTGGCTGCCAGGGTGCGGCGCCCTGGGAGCAGTTGGCTGCCAGGGTGCGGCGCCCTGGGAGCAGTTGGCTGCCAGGGTGCGGCGCCCTGGGGAGCAGTTGGCTGCCAGGGTGCGGCGCCCTGGGAGCAGTTGGCTGCCAGGGTGCGGCGCCCGGGGAGCAGTTGGCTGCCAGGGTGCGGCGCCCTGGGGAGCAGTTGGCTGCCAGGGTGCGGCGCCCTGGGAGCAGTTGGCTGCCAGGGTGCGGCGCCCTGGGGAGCAGTTGGCTGCCAGGGTGCGGCGCCCGGGGAGCAGTTGGCTGCCAGGGTGCGGCGCCCTGGGGAGCAGTTGGCTGCCAGGGTGCGGCGCCCTGGGAGCAGTTGGCTGCCAGGGTGCGGCGCCCTATGGAGCAGTTGGCTGCCAGGGTGCGGCGCCCTGGGAGCAGTTGGCTGCCAGGGTGCGGCGCCCTGGGGAGCAGTTGGCTGCCAGGGTGCGGCGCCCTGGGGAGCAGTTGGCTGCCAGGGTGCGGCGCCCTATGGAGCAGTTGGCTGCCAGGGTGCGGCGCCCTATGGAGCAGTTGGCTGCCAGGGTGCGGCGCCCTGGGAGCAGTTGGCTGCCAGGGTGCGGCGCCCTATGGAGCAGTTGGCTGCCAGGGTGCGGCGCCCTATGGAGCAGTTGGCTGCCAGGGTGCGGCGCCCGGGGAGCAGTTGGCTGCCAGGGTGCGGCGCCCTATGGAGCAGTTGGCTGCCAGGGTGCGGCGCCCGGGGAGCAGTTGGCTGCCAGGGTGCGGTGCCCGGGGAGCAGTTGGCTGCCAGGGTGCGGTGCCCGGGGAGCAGTTGGCTGCCAGGGTGCGGCGCCCGGGGAGCAGTTGGTTGCCAGGGTGCGGCGCCCGGGGAGCAGTTGGCTGCCAGGGTGCGGTGCCCGGGGAGCAGTTGGCTGCCACGGTGCGGCGCCCTGGGAGCAGTTGGCTGCCAGGGTGCGGCGCCCTATGGAGCAGTTGGCTGCCAGGGTGCGGCGCCCTGGGGAGCAGTTGGCTGCCACGGTGCGGCGCCCTGGGAGCAGTTGGCTGCCAGGGTGCGGCGCCCTATGGAGCAGTTGGCTGCCAGGGTGCGGCGCCCTGGGGAGCAGTTGGCTGCCAGGGTGCGGCGCCCTATGGAGCAGTTGGCTGCCAGGGTGCGGCGCCCTGGGAGCAGTTGGCTGCCAGGGTGCGGCGCCCTATGGAGCAGTTGGCTGCCAGGGTGCGGCGCCCTGGGAGCAGTTGGCTGCCAGGGTGCGGCGCCCTATGGAGCAGTTGGCTGCCAGGGTGCGGCGCCCGGGGAGCAGTTGGCTGCCAGGGTGCGGCGCCCTGGGGAGCAGTTGGCTGCCAGGGTGCGGCGCCCTGGGAGCAGTTGGCTGCCAGGGTGCGGCGCCCTATGGAGCAGTTGGCTGCCAGGGTGCGGCGCCCTGGGAGCAGTTGGCTGCCAGGGTGCGGCGCCCTATGGAGCAGTTGGCTGCCAGGGTGCGGCGCCCTGGGGAGCAGTTGGCTGCAAGGGTGCGGCGCCCTGGGAGCAGTTGGCTGCCAGGGTGCGGCGCCCGGGGAGCAGTTGGCTGCCAGGGTGCGGCGCCCTGGGAGCAGTTGGCTGCCAGGGTGCGGCGCCCTGGGAGCAGTTGGCTGCCAGGGTGCGGCGCCCTATGGAGCAGTTGGCTGCCAGGGTGCGGCGCCCTGGGAGCAGTTGGCTGCCAGGGTGCGGCGCCCGGGGAGCAGTTGGCTGCCAGGGTGCGGCGCCCTGGGGAGCAGTTGGCTGCCAGGGTGCGGCGCCCTGGGAGCAGTTGGCTGCCAGGGTGCGGCGCCCGGGGAGCAGTTGGCTGCCAGGGTGCGGCGCCCTGGGGAGCAGTTGGCTGCCAGGGTGCGGCGCCCTGGGAGCAGTTGGCTGCCAGGGTGCGGCGCCCTATGGAGCAGTTGGCTGCCAGGGTGCGGCGCCCTGGGAGCAGTTGGCTGCCAGGGTGCGGCGCCCTATGGAGCAGTTGGCTGCCAGGGTGCGGCGCCCGGGGAGCAGTTGGCTGCCAGGGTGCGGCGCCCTGGGGAGCAGTTGGCTGCCAGGGTGCGGCGCCCTGGGAGCAGTTGGCTGCCAGGGTGCGGCGCCCTGGGAGCAGTTGGCTGCCAGGGTGCGGTGCCCTGGGAGCAGTTGGCTGCCAGGGTGCGGCGCCCTGGGGAGCAGTTGGCTGCCAGGGTGCGGCGCCCTGGGAGCAGTTGGCTGCCAGGGTGCGGCGCCCGGGGAGCAGTTGGCTGCCAGGGTGCGGCGCCCTGGGAGCAGTTGGCTGCCAGGGTGCGGCGCCCGGGGAGCAGTTGGCTGCCAGGGTGCGGCGCCCTGGGGAGCAGTTGGCTGCCAGGGTGCGGCGCCCTGGGAGCAGTTGGCTGCCAGGGTGCGGCGCCCTATGGAGCAGTTGGCTGCCAGGGTGCGGCGCCCTGGGAGCAGTTGGCTGCCAGGGTGCGGCGCCCTGGGAGCAGTTGGCTGCCAGGGTGCGGCGCCCTGGGGAGCAGTTGGCTGCCAGGGTGCGGCGCCCGGGGAGCAGTTGGCTGCCAGGGTGCGGCGCCCTGGGGAGCAGTTGGCTGCCAGGGTGCGGCGCCCTGGGAGCAGTTGGCTGCCAGGGTGCGGCGCCCTGGGAGCAGTTGGCTGCCAGGGTGCGGCGCCCTATGGAGCAGTTGGCTGCCAGGGTGCGGCGCCCTGGGAGCAGTTGGCTGCCAGGGTGCGGCGCCCTGGGGAGCAGTTGGCTGCCAGGGTGCGGCGCCCTATGGAGCAGTTGGCTGCCAGGGTGCGGCGCCCTGGGAGCAGTTGGCTGCCAGGGTGCGGCGCCCTGGGGAGCAGTTGGCTGCCAGGGTGCGGCGCCCGGGGAGCAGTTGGCTGCCAGGGTGCGGCGCCCTGGGGAGCAGTTGGCTGCCAGGGTGCGGCGCCCTGGGAGCAGTTGGCTGCCAGGGTGCGGCGCCCTATGGAGCAGTTGGCTGCCAGGGTGCGGCGCCCTGGGAGCAGTTGGCTGCCAGGGTGCGGCGCCCTATGGAGCAGTTGGCTGCCAGGGTGCGGCGCCCTATGGAGCAGTTGGCTGCCAGGGTGCGGCGCCCGGGGAGCAGTTGGCTGCCAGGGTGCGGCGCCCTATGGAGCAGTTGGCTGCCAGGGTGCGGCGCCCGGGGAGCAGTTGGCTGCCAGGGTGCGGTGCCCGGGGAGCAGTTGGCTGCCAGGGTGCGGCGCCCGGGGAGCAGTTGGTTGCCAGGGTGCGGCGCCCGGGGAGCAGTTGGCTGCCAGGGTGCGGTGCCCGGGGAGCAGTTGGCTGCCACGGTGCGGCGCCCTGGGAGCAGTTGGCTGCCAGGGTGCGGCGCCCTATGGAGCAGTTGGCTGCCAGGGTGCGGCGCCCTGGGGAGCAGTTGGCTGCCAGGGTGCGGCGCCCTATGGAGCAGTTGGCTGCCAGGGTGCGGCGCCCTGGGAGCAGTTGGCTGCCAGGGTGCGGCGCCCTGGGGAGCAGTTGGCTGCCAGGGTGCGGCGCCCTGGGAGCAGTTGGCTGCCAGGGTGCGGCGCCCGGGGAGCAGTTGGCTGCCAGGGTGCGGTGCCCGGGGAGCAGTTGGCTGCCAGGGTGCGGCGCCCTGGGAGCAGTTGGCTGCCAGGGTGCGGTGCCCGGGGAGCAGTTGGCTGCCAGGGTGCGGCGCCCTGGGAGCAGTTGGCTGCCAGGGTGCGGCGCCCTGGGGAGCAGTTGGCTGCCAGGGTGCGGCGCCCTGGGAGCAGTTGGCTGCCAGGGTGCGGCGCCCGGGGAGCAGTTGGCTGCCAGGGTGCGGCGCCCTGGGGAGCAGTTGGCTGCCAGGGTGCGGCGCCCTGGGAGCAGTTGGCTGCCAGGGTGCGGCGCCCTATGGAGCAGTTGGCTGCCAGGGTGCGGCGCCCGGGGAGCAGTTGGCTGCCAGGGTGCGGCGCCCTGGGGAGCAGTTGGCTGCCAGGGTGCGGCGCCCTGGGAGCAGTTGGCTGCCAGGGTGCGGCGCCCTATGGAGCAGTTGGCTGCCAGGGTGCGGCGCCCTATGGAGCAGTTGGCTGCCAGGGTGCGGCGCCCTGGGAGCAGTTGGCTGCCAGGGCGCGGCGCCCTATGGAGCAGTTGGCTGCCAGGGCGCGGCGCCCTATGGAGCAGTTGGCTGCCAGGGTGCGGCGCCCTGGGAGCAGTTGGCTGCCAGGGTGCGGCGCCCTATGGAGCAGTTGGTTGCCAGGGTGCGGTGCCCGGGGAGCAGTTGGCTGCCAGGGTGCGGTGCCCGGGGAGCAGTTGGCTGCCAGGGTGCGGTGCCCGGGGAGCAGTTGGCTGCCAGGGTGCGGTGCCCGGGGAGCAGTTGGCTGCCACGGTGCGGCGCCCTGGGAGCAGTTGGCTGCCAGGGTGCGGCGCCCTATGGAGCAGTTGGCTGCCAGGGTGCGGCGCCCTATGGAGCAGTTGGCTGCCAGGGTGCGGCGCCCTGGGAGCAGTTGGGGGTTAAGGGTCTTTGCTCAGGGACCCAGTGGCAGGCTGTGGGAGTGGGGCTTGAACTCAGAACCCTCAGAACTAGGCTGCCACTCCCCTAAGGTGATGGCGAGGAGGAGACACGTTTTGATTGACAGCTAGATGAGCCAATCACTATGCGTCCTTCTCTCTCAGGTGTACTTTCAGTGTGGCGGAGCAGGTTACTGTCAGACGGACGCCGCAGACCGGTCTGCATCCTCGGTGTCTCCGTCTTTTGTCCGATCCATCTCCTCCTGCATCGACGTCCCCAGAAGGTCAGGCTCCTCCCACCTGTTTGTTTTCTGATCGCTCACTAGTAAACATCCTCACACTCATCACTGCTGCTCTGCAGTCGCACGGCTCAGCAGGAGGTGGACATGGATGAGCTGATGGCAGCCATGGTCCTCAGCAGCCTGTCCTGCAGTCCTCCGCCCCCGTCCCAGGTCCCCGTCCATAAAGAAACCCCAGGTAAACAAAACAGGAAAAGAAATGTCTCAACAATAAAAACATTTAACTCAATGACAAAAAAGGAAATTTCATGGAAGTCTGACAGTTTTCCCTCGATTCTTCCTCCCATTCAGCTCCTTCCATGGACCTCGCCGCCATGGACATCTCGGACAGCTGCAGCAGTGGCTACTGGAGCGTCGACCGCGGTCCAAGAAGCCCCGCCCCTTCCTCTCCGACAATAGAAGCAAACGGCAGGTTGGCCACGCCCACTGATGAGGGCTTGGACATGGAGCTGGACCAGGTTCTTTTTGAAGAACCGGCACCAAGAAAACGCAGGGTGAGGTTGTTTTTCTGTTAAACACGGAGAGACGGAACAGATGGAGGTGGTCCGACGGTGCCGGTCCGTTTTCCCTCACAGAACTCGCTGAAGGTGGCGTACAGGTGTCTGTGGCCGAGCTGCGCCAAGGTGCTGACGTCGCTGGTGGGAATCAAACGCCACATCAGGACGGTACACCTTAGGTGAGACACCTGCTGAAGTTCTTTTAATGTTGTGACATCACAGCTGGAGAGGTAGCAAACTGGATCCCAACCAGAGAGTTCTGGATCGTCTGGCATCGAACCAGAGACCCTAACTGGTTCTGGTCCCGTTAAGCCAACCGACCACTCTGCCTAGAAAATGACTGAAATGATGGTTCAGTTGCTTCTTTTCCTTCAGGACTAAAGTCGAATCATCTTCATCGTTCAGTCAGCTGACGATTGATTGAGTGACCTTTGACCTCTGTGTTTCAGCCATGGTGGTGAACATGAACGATGCTCTCGAAGCGAGGAAGACTTTTACTATTCCGAGATCAACCAAAGGGACGAGTCTCCCCCTGCTGCTCCCCCATGTGGCCCCGCCCCTTTCTCACCTAGCACCTCCCCTCCCTCTCCTCCCCCACCCTCCCCTCCCTCTCCTCCCAACCCCAACTGCAGCACTTTGAGCCAGTCCGCCCCCTCCCCCTGCAGCAGCTCCTGGCAGGTCCAATCAGAGCACTCCTACCAGGTGGGCGGGGCTTCTGTGAGGAACTCGGTTGGTTAATGTCTTAGATTAGCTCTGATGACGGGCCATGGATGAATGGCAGCTCGTTTAGCACCAACAGAATAAACATGTCTCCATGAATGAACAGCTTATAACAATAAGCAGGTTGTAACAAAGAACAGCTCAATAATAACGAACATTTTACGGTTTGGAATTGATACGATTTTCACGATCCGATTCCCTTATCGATTCTGCGAAACGATTCCATTCCGTTTAATGAAAAATCTTTACTGAACAATTTTGGGAAATAAACTAATTTCCCCCTGATTTAAATAAACGAGCGCCACCTTTCTTTCGCTGCGGAGCAACTTGGTAGCATGTTTGGTTGCATCCATTGCAACAGCTGGAATCATGTAAGAATTCCACCTAGCAGTAGTTCTAACTAAACATGCTAGTAATAAAGGGCTCGGTTAACGAGGAAGGCACACTCCCTTATTTACCCCAGAGAGAGGAAGGAAACTAGCCTGACGTAGTCCTACTCAATTCTAGTCAGAATGAGTCTGATGCTGCTCCATAGAGCTGTGATTATGGGGCGTGTTTCGAACGAACCAGGAAAAAAAATGCCTCTGCACTCAATTGGATAGACCTACAACCAATAAGAGCAACGGAGTGCGTGACGTATGTTAAGCGATGCATAGTTGTTGTTAACAAAAATCAAAGCGTGCAGTTGCACGCCTAGAATAAGAAGATGAGCCTTGATCGCGTTTCTCTGTTCCTCTTTTAAAATTAATTTGCTGTCGATATCTTCTAGAACAGACCTAATAGCAGAATCTACTCACCCAAACTCTCCAGCGGCAGCCATTATTGTTGTCACCCATGCGCGCTTTGGTGACGTGGTTGATTACGTTACTGTTGGTCATCTGTCCATCATCGTATAAAGCCCGCCCTGACAATTTGATTGGATCGCCAGAGGGTGGGCAATCATACTCGCGCTACTATGGAGCAATTCCAGACCGAACTTCCCGACCTCAAACTTTGTGGGCGGGACTAAGTTCGGAATGGCACCCAGGCTAGAAGGAAACTGGTTCATTTCCAGAAATGGCTTCTGATTTACTAGGAACCACATTAAGCTCAGCCAGTGATAGAAAACTAGCTTCTAACCACCAGAGTTTCCTTCCGTGCTGGTCGTAACTTTAGCTTCCGTCTGGAAGCATCAGAAACACAGCATTGTTTCGAATGGATGCCATGTTGTTCTGCATGTTGGAGGTATTTCTTCCCGCGGATATTATTGCCACATTGCAATGATTGCAAAGCGCCTTGTTGCCATCTTTCTCTTGAAAGCCAAACTTTCGATAGCTTTACTCGATGGGACGCCATTTTCTTTGTTTTGCATTTCTAGACTTACGCCTGGTCACGTCGTACTTGCTAGCTGAATGCCGCGAGCGTAACTTCCCTACAAAACGTGCCGTAAGTCGTGCTGCCCAGCGATAGGCTCTGGTTCTGCCTGGAACCGTTTAGAGAATCATTAAGCGAGCTTCCAAACGGTGCCGTGGAATTGGAACACACGGAACCGGTTCTGAACAGGAACCGGTTTTCGATTCCCATCCCTGCAGTTCATCAAGAATGAGCAGCTCGTTAACAATGAACGGCTGGTTAACTTTGATCGGCTCATTAGTATCAAACAGCTTGTTAAAAATAAACATCTCGTTAAAATTGAGCAGTTAAATAAAATGTATTGCCACTTAGGTTCCATTTCAAACCTGAAGAACTAATAATTTATTTTAAGAACTACGTTTTGCTGAAACTGGTTTGTATTTTACCTAATGTCTAATGAAAGACTCCATCCTAACATGTTCATTGTGTTTAGGCTCCGCCCCCAAGCCTCATGGTTCTGCCTGCAGCCCCTACTTCCTGTCCCCTGACAGCCCCGCCCACCACATGCAGCAGACAGGTAAAAGACTGAAATGTTCCACATCATCTGTCCTCTGGGTCTCTGATCCTGGTTCTGGTTTCAAACCAGAACATCTTCTATCTTCTTACAGTTTATTGTTTTTTTTTTTGTGATGTTAGCAGAAGGAATGAGTTTGGGAAATTATCCGCTTTCTCATCTTAAACCTCAGAACTTTGTCATAGATTTGACAATAAATAAATGGGTTTGTTAGTTATGCTTCCTGAGGCTGTTCTGGGAGGAGCCAGCAGGTCCTGGTTCTGTCCATCCAGTCCTCCAGAACCTTTGGTTCTGCTGCTTTTAAACACATGAGCAGAAAAATGTTCTGTTTTCTCACTGATGGTCAGAAGAACCCAGCAGACTGGGATCAAGGACTTGGATCCAGCTCAGATCATTACCAGTTTAGCCTGGACAGGGTGATCCAGAACCAGAACCTGGTCTCTGTGGGCAGAGCTGTGGAAGCTCAGCAGAACATAGATCTAGAACCAGCAGATGGATGGACCGTGAAGTTCTGTGAGGAACCTGACCCCTCTTTCCTCCTCAGGCGTTCCGGGTCCGATCGGTCAGCGTGGGAGAGCAGTGGCTGCAGCATCACAGCGCCCCCTGCAGGTCGGTGCTTCTATTGTGTGAGGGGCCCTCAGGGGCCCGCAGCTTTTCACTGACATGTTTCTGTCTATCAGGAGGATTCGAAGTGAGGCCAAGAAGTGTCGGAAGGTTTACGGCATCGAGCACCGGGAGCTGTGGTGCACGGCGTGCCGCTGGAAGAAGGCCTGCCAGCGCTTCCAGGACTGAGGCCGGGCCGCCTCAGCGTGGCCCTCAGCGGGCGGGCGGACCCGCGGTGACGATGGCGGTTTAAAACCAACCCTGTCCAGGCTGCTGAGGGTCTGCATCGTCTGGACCAATGAGGACGAAGATTGTCTCCTTTATTTTCAGTCGCTGCCATTAAAGCAGCAGAACGAGGAGGAACGCCTGCATGAAGGAGACGCGCCGATTGTTATTCCAGCCTCAGTTTGTTACGATTCAGCAGAAGAAGAAAATAAATCGCTCATTAGAAGATTAGCTGTGCTTTAAGCTCCGTCTTCCTTCTGTTGTGATAAAACGCAGGCGGTCCTCAGATAGGAACTGGTCTCCATGTCGGATCAGGAGGAGCTTCATGCTGTAGCTCACAGGACGGAGCTCATGTTTATGTTTATGATGCAAAGCAGGAAGAACCGACTCCTTCCATCTGCTCGTCCAAGCTTCTCAGCCAATGGCAGACGAGGTTTTTATCAGAACATTTTAAACAGTAAGAATGAGAGTTAATCATCCTGCAAGGAGAACAAACTGGACGATATCCAAACGGTTCCGGTTTAAAGGAAAAGTCCGGATTAACCCGTGATCATCATTTATACCTGAAACTAATCCGTTCACAGAATTTAATGAATTTAGCGTTTATCAGTAAAAAAAAAAAAGAATTTCATTCCGATCACTGAGTCCGTGAGCGGCCATCTTTGCCCAAATATAGTAGCCCCTCCCTCCTGCCATCTTCCAGCAGTGACGTCACGGTGCGGTAAGCCTAGCGCCATTCTCCCCGCTTTCCAAGCTAAATCAATGGGAACTACTAGACACATCTGCAATCAACAACAATTATTGAAGATTTCCAGAGGACTTCACCATTGAAATTCACCAGAGCTATAGTGAAACTGACAATGCCCACGTGCATGGCAGCTGGATGCTGGAATACATCGGGTAAGAGTGGAAAAAAGAGTTATTCCACCTTTCTGATTCCTGATCCTCCACGGACGGGCTGGTCGTTGGATCGCCAACTTGAAGAGGGAGGATTTGCCATCGAACTTCTGGCCAGAGAAAAAACCCGTAATATGTAGCCAACATTTGGAAGAAGAATGTTTTCAAGATGACTTGGATAATAGCGCGTTGTGACAAACACCAGATACAGCACTGGGACTTGATCAACAGCCGATACCGCACCGTGACAATGTCACTAACCAGTAGGTGGCAGTAGTGTTCTTTGACAAACATGGATGCCTCCAGTAAAGCACATTCACATGAAAATTACTCTGAATTAAAAACACTGATCATTTATTGAACAGGATGGAATCATTTCAGATTTAAAGAACTTTCAGAAGTTTGGATTCTGAATATGAGCGACTTTTCCTTTAAAGATGGTTCCCAAAGGGGAGGACACGCCCCCTAGAGGGGTCCAGTGTAATTGCAGGGGGGGTTGGTAAGAATGAATGATTCACATCGACCGTTTCTTTATCTTTTTACATCTTTAAAGGAATATTGAAAATAAAGTTAAACTTCAGACTATTTAAAAGTGGATTTATTGCCATGTTAGGCACTGCAGTCAGATTCACATTCAAGCCATGAATTAATAGCCTGACGTAGTCCGACTCAATTCTAGTCAGAATGAGTCTGATGCTGCTCCATAGAGCTGTGATTATGGGGCGTGTTTCGAACGAACCAGGAAAAAAATGCCTCTGCACTCAATTGGATAGACCTACAACCAATAAGAGCAACGGAGTGCGTGACGTATGTTAAGCGACGCATAGTTGTCGTCAACAAAAATCAAAGCGTGCAGTTTCACGCCTAGAATAAGAAGATGAGACTTGATCGCGTTTCTCTGTTCCTCTTTTAAAATTAATTTGCTGTCGATATCTTCTAGAACAGACCTAATAGCAGAATCTACTCACCTCAACTCTCCAGCGGCAGCCATTGTTGTTGTCACCCAAGCGCGCTTTGGTGACGTGGTTGATTACGTTACTGTTGGTCATCTGTCCATCATCGTATAAAGCCCGCCCTGACAATTTGATTGGATCGCCAGAGGGTGGGCAATCATACTCGCGCTACTATGGAGCAGAGCCAGACCGAACTTCCCGACCTCAAACTTTGTGGGCGGGACTAAGTTCGGAATGGCACCCAGGCTATTGAATTAAGTGTTTTCTCTTGATTTATGCAACTAAGATGGTTTCCAAATGCATCAGGATTATTGTTCAAAAGTAAAAAATTTTCTTATTTCAAGGGAATCGTATTTTAAGGGTAAACATAAGACATGTCATTGTATTAACCCACTCGTTAAGATGAAATAAACTTATTTCAATGTCTTATTTTTATCAGTTTTAAAAATGTTGATGCGGAGCAGAGCTGTAAACAACAGAAACTTTTGCTCCTCTGACCGTCTCCATGGTTCTGGTTGAGCTGCTTCCTGCTCCTGATCCTCTTAAAGTTTCCGAACCTTCCAGAGGCCTGTTTTTAAATAAGCTGAACCTATAGACCCAGGATCAGAGTTAAGTCAGGTTTGACCCGATGGATCAGTTGGAGACACTGACCCAGAGAGCAGAACCTCCCAGAACTCTGTTAGGAATGAGGAGCAAACGGTCTGCAGCTTTACATCAACTTTTATTATTAAAGATGCTTCGACAAACGGAACACACACATCCTGATATGAATAAAAAACACCCCCCCCCCCCCCCCACACACACACACACAACACACACAGAGTAACTGCTGTATAAATTATGTACAGTCCGGCTGATGGAGGAGCGTCACTCTGCAGCGTTGGAACCCGAGTCTGAGGAGGAGAACAAGGAGAACGTTACTGATGAACGATCCATGGATCCGGTCCTCTCTTCCTGCTCTGTGGTCTATTACGCCCTCTGCTGCTCTGACCTGGTACTACAGCCTATACTGCAGCTGCTGAGCTAGATCGGATGATAAAACCTGCAGACTGTGACAGACCTGTCTGTTAAGGAGGTTATAGAAGCCTGTAAAGTTAGTCATCTTTATGCATAAAAGTGTAAAAAATTTGCATCTTCAGGACAAAGCCGGGAATAAATATAAAAATCTAACGGTGGATGTCTGGGGGACAGTGATTGGCCTCCATGTTCTGAATGCTGGCGTACCATAAAGAATAAATGATGAACAGTTTAGTTTGTGCCTTCAAGTCGTTGCCCATAGGAAGACGTTACTGGATATAACCTAACGGAATATCTTCAGAACGGCTCCAGATGACACTAAATTCATATGGGTGAGTAGAACATGATGGAATAACGGAAAATCAAGGAACCAATGGAAAAAAAAAGGCGTTTCCCTTTAAGTGGTGGAAACGTGAAGTGGAAAAGCCTGAGATTTTTTTTTTGGTTTTGGACGAGACATTTATTAATGCATCGTCATGTGATCACACGCTAACCTACAGCTGGTCTGGGTTCTGTGGTCATTGGCAGGTCCAGAACCAATACGGTCCTGGTGCGGTTCTGCTGAGACTCACTCTTTCCATCGCAGGCGACGATCTTGACCTTGTCGACCTTCACCAGCTCCGTCACCTCCCTGAACTCCACGTCGTTCAGAACAAACGTCCACACATTGTCACAGAACCTGTAGGTGTTCAGGGAGCCCTGAGGACAGAGAACAGACCCAGGTCAGCGGAGCCAGGCACAGCTCTGGTACCGGTTCAGACCCGGGACAGACTCACCCTGAAGTTGACTCTGTTCCGGACCCGGCTGGCCAGCGCCGCGTTGATGGCCTTGTCGAACTGCAGCAGGACCTGCAGGGCCAGCTGGGGGGTTATCTGCTGGGTCTGAACACAGACAAGGCGTCAGCATTAGAGAAGAGTTTGGGCTCAGCTGGGTTCTACTGAAGCGGGTCGGATCCTCTCTGCAGTTTATCTAAAAACAAAAACCCGGGTGCACTCAGAGGCGTAACTTTCTGAAGGACTGGGGTGGACATTTTCCTCACTTCCTGCTCATTTACTTTAGCCAAAGCTAACAGAGGTTGGCTGCAGCTGTCAGTGTTCAGAGCATTTTCCGTCAGTGTTTTTTTGTTTTCCCCTCCCCCCTCTGCTCCTGTGTCCCGCCTCTCAGTGTGACATCATCGGATCAGCAGGTTTGAGGCATCTGATTTGCTGTCGCATTTCACTGCGTAGAGAGTAGCTAAGCTGAGAGACGCACAGCAGCACTCAGTGAATATTAACCAGCAGCTACTTCCATGTTTAAGTGAAAGAAAGAAGACGGGTTGGTTAAAATAATTAGAGATTATGCTAACGAAAAATCTGTTTGACATACGGAGCTTATTCAGCTAAAAATGGCAACAGATTAAAGTTTATACAAGCTAGTATAATGGACAACGTTAACGATAAAACATGAACAACGTTAACGATAAAACACGGACAACGTTAACGATAAAACAAGGAGAACGTTAACGATAAAACAAGGAGAACGTTAACGATAAAACAAGGAGAACGTTAACGATAAAACACGGACAACGTTAACGATAAAACACGGACAACGTTAACGATAAAACACGGACAACGTTAACGATAAAACAAGGAGAACGTTAACGATAAAACACGGACAACGTTAACGATAAAACACGGACAACGTTAACGATAAAACACGGACAACGTTAACGATAAAACACGGACAACGTTAACGATAAAACACGGACAACGTTAACGATAAAACACGGACAACGTTAACGATAAAACACGGACAACGTTAACGATAAAACACGAACAACGTTAACGATAAAACACGGAGAACGTTAACGATAAAACAAGGAGAACGTTAACGATAAAACACGAACAACGTTAACGATAAAACACGGACAACGTTAACGATAAAACACGGACAACGTTAACGATAAAACACGGACAACGTTAACGATAAAACACGGACAACGTTAACGATAAAACACGGAGAACGTTAACGATAAAACACGGAGAACGTTAACGATAAAACACGGAGAACGTTAACGATAAAACACGGAGAACGTTAACGATAAAACACGGAGAACGTTAACGATAAAACACGGAGAACGTTAACGATAAAACACGGAGAACGTTAACGATAAAACACGGAGAACGTTAACGATAAAACACGGAGAACGTTAACGATAAAACACGGAGAACGTTAACGATAAAACACGGAGAACGTTAACGATAAAACACGGACAACGTTAACGATAAAACACGGACAACGTTAACGATAAAACACGGAGAACGTTAACGATAAAACACGGAGAACGTTAACGATAAAACACGGACAACGTTAACGA